CACCCACTGCAGGGTCAGCTATGAATTGGTTGCAACTTGAAGGCACACAACAACAACAGCACTGAACACTGGAACTTTCAGCTAGTACTAAAAACAGCCTTTCTCTGATCATTCCCCATGCGATGAGAGTGTCCTGTGCTCTGTTGCGCAATGATGGCAGGAATCACTAAGGGTGTAGGAAAGCTCGAAAAAGAAATAGGATCTGAAAAGGGAAAATAACCTCAATGAAGTCATTGTGATCACAGGGAAGCAGACCAAGGCTGTGACTGTTAAGTCACCATTTCTGATGGTTTCCGTTTTCCTTTGTGAGCCGGAGGACCCACATCCAAATTTGACTCCACACTTAATACTGTGCTAAGTGCTTCAATTAGAGAACCATATTTAGAGTTCTCAACAAACCAGTGAGGGAAGGATTACCACTATTTCCACTGCATGTGTAGGGAAATTGAGATAAAAGTTCATCTCTTGCCCAAGGTCCTAAAGCTTCAATTTGGGACTTTGTTATCTGTTTTTAGAGACTGCACTACTGATCATTGAGCTATTCTACTTCTGAAGTAGAGCCCACTGAGCTGCCCAAAGGCTGTTTCATCTCCCAGTCCCCCTTCTAGTTTGTTGTTATTGTTGTTGTTGTTAATTACCGTCCAATCATAGGTGACTCATAGCGACACAATGAACAAAAGACCTGAACATTTGCATAACTTTCATCCTTTCTCCAAGTTCATAAGGTTTCCGGAGGCAAGCTATTTCGGAAGTGGATGCCACTCCTGCTTCTAAGCTTGTTTTAATTGGGAAGCTTCACCAAACGCTGTCCACCATGGGTAGCCATTATCGTATTTGACGTATCAGTGTCACAGTGTTTAGCATCACAGTCACCATGAGTTTAAGGCTGTGTAAAAGAGTTCTGATTGGTGAGATATGAACAGCAATGGTGTACAACAATTCCAAGCCAGGCTTCTAATGCATGCTGCATGGCCCTCTAAGCACTCTCTCTTTACCCATTGACAAGTCACACACTTATTACGGATTGAAGTGTACATCTCAAACTATGTGATAGAATCCTAAACCCTGTATTTGTGAATGTAATCCCATCTGGGCATAAAGTTTTCATTATTATGTTAATTAGGTCCTGTTTTAGGAAGTGTCCAATCTATTTTGAAACATGAAAATATCAGATTAAGTATAAAGAAGCTACATAAAAGGGGGAAAGATATAATACACATGAAGACTGCCAAGGAATCATGGACTCTGAAATAAGGACCTTGCCTAAGAGCTGAAAGAAAGAGTCCCATTCTAGAGTCAGTGCCCTGACTTTTATAAATTCTGCTTCATTAAAACCCTACTATTTTTGTATTTTTTGTTACAATAGCACTAAGAAGCTAAGATAGGACTCAGTATGAGAATTCAGAGTCCCACAGGATGGCAAAATCATAGGACAGAATCATGGCCACTTCACTGCCTTCAGAGGACAGTTTCTTAGGACAGCTGTCCTCCTTGGAATATCCAATATAGGGTTGTGTAAGTGAGGAACAAACTATCATTGTGCTATATGCTGAAAAAAAAAAGTAATTGCTTGTTACAGCAGCATCCCTCAGCTTTGTACTAATTGCAAAAAGAAAAATAGTATCTTGGAAGATATCCCATAAATTAAGTGATCAGAGTTCCGGTCACAGAGGAGACACTGCCGCAGTTGCCGCCACATCCAGGGTTCCTGGCTATTTTCTCTTCGCCTTAAATTCAGGTGTCTTTTATGAATAATCAAAAGCAGCAAAAGCCAACGCTATCAGGCTGGCATTTTAAAACTAGAAAAAGAGAGGTTTGACCCTACTCAGTTTCAAGACTGTATTATTCAAGGCTGAACTGAAACTGGTACTGATTTGAAAACAGTAGCTAAGTTTCTTGATGCTTCTGGAGCAAAACTTGATTACCAGAGATATGCAGAGACTCTCTGACATTCTGGTGGCCGGTGGAATGCTGGCCCAAGTGGGCACACTGGCAGATGACACGATGAGCACAGACGTCTGTGTGTTTGCAGCACTGGAAGACCGGGAGACCATGCAAGCATTTGCTCAGGTTTTTAACAAGTTAATCAGGCGCTACAAATACCTGGAGAAAGGTTTTGAAGATGAAGTTAAAAAGCTGCTGCTGTTCTTAAAGGGTTTTTCTGAGTCTGAGAGGAGCAAGCTGGCTATGTTGACTGGTGTTCTTCTGGCAAATGGAACACTTAATGCATCCATTCTTAATAGCCTTTATAATGAGAATTTGGTTAAAGAAGGGGTTTCAGCAGCTTTTGCTGTAAAGCTTTTTAAATCATGGATAAACGAAAAAGATATCAACGCAGTAGCTGTAAGTCTTTGGAAAGTCAGCACGGATAACAGACTGATGGAACTTTTTCCTGCCAATAAGCAAAGTGTTGAACACTTCACAAAGTACTTCACTGAAGTGGGTTTGCAAGAACTTTTGATATATGTTCGGAATCAGCATATCATAAGAGCTCTGAAGGAGCTCCAGAAAGAACTTGCAGGAGCAGATGTTTCGTGGGGATCCATTTAAGGATATAATTTTATATGTCAAGGCAGAGATGAAAAAAAAATCCTGGAACCCGTTGTCATTGGTATAGTCTCTTCAAGTGTAATGATCACTGTGGAATGGAACAAAAAAGAGCAGCTTGTAGCAGAGCAAGCCATCAAGCATTTGAAGCAATACAGCACTCTACTTGCTCCTTTCGCTACTCAAGGTCAGTCTGAGCTGACTCTGTTACTGGCGATTCAGGAGTATTGCTATGACAACTTTCATTTCATGAAAGCCTTCCAGAAAACAGTGGTGCTTTTTTATAAAGCTGAGGGTCTGAGTGAAGAGCCCATTCTGAAATGGTATAAAGATGCACATGTTGCAAAGGGGGGAAAGTGTCTTCCTTGAGCAAATGAAAAATTTTGTAGAACGGCTCAAAAATGGTGAAGAAGAATCTGAGTCTGAAGCTGAAGAAGGTGACTGAATTTTGAAACTCTGCCGTCAGTAAAACAAACAGGAGTTGTAGATAAAATGTCATGTCTTGTGTATCAAGCATGACATAAGAGCTTTCATGGCAAATTTTATTTTAATTGTTTCTATGGTTACTGGAAATGTTGGGTTTGTTTCTAAAACCTTGTTTTAAGTAGCTACAGGAGCTATAGATTTGAATCTGATGTTTCATTAGTCTTTTCTGTTATGTTCTACCTCGTGTATTTTCTATTGTAATAATGTAATTTAAGGCCTTCACAATTAACAGTCCACTTTATTCCCTGGGTTTTCTATACAAACAGTTATCAAAATATGATTTAGTTAAAAACAATTTGTTATAAAAAATTGGGGGGAAGGTTGGGAGGAGAGAAAAATGAAACAATGAGTGAATGGAAATCCAAAGTTCTATAAATTTTCATTGACATCAATAATAAATTTTTTAAAAATCACAGTAACAAAAGCTGGCTTCACCTTATAAAGTAAAAAAAATTTCTTTGCAAATTAAACTGTAAAAGTATCTAAAAAAATTAAGTGATCAAATTTCACATCATCAGTGATAAGATGCTAATAAGATACTTCCTGACGTCATGCATTTAGAAAGTATTTTTCCTGTGACATTTTGACTCAAAACTTCAGATAACTTACAAAATAACTTTCTAACATTCTTCTAAATTATTAAGGTCTTGAAAAGAGAAAGAACATTCACAGATTGTAAGGGATTAAGGAGACATGATAATTAAAGGTAAAGAATTGAATCTTGGGCCAGAAAAGGGCATTCATGAAAATTGGTGAAATGCAACCAAGCTTAGGCAATAATACTAAAATTGCAGAAATTGGATTGTGATCATGTCAGATGTGAACATTAGGAAAAGTTGAGCAAGAGGTATATTTAGGAATCTTCTATACTATTTTTACAATTTTCAATTAAATCCATAACTACTCTTTTAACGTTAAAAGATAAAAATAAAACTGGTATAAATTATTGTCAAATGATCTCTCTGGCTGAATTACTTTTGATGCACTGTAAGCAATCCTGGACAAGAAAGATGTACATTTATATAGGATTCTGATATTTTTATTATTGAACGCATCTTCAAAGCCCAGCTCAAAAATCAGTTCATTTAGTAAATCTTATTAGCTTCCGTGTTTATTTGATTGAATGTTTTTTCCTGCTTCCTGAGTATTTGATACTGAGTCAATGACTGTATTCAGTGATAAATTCTTTTGGGGATAAGAGGAACTGTGTAACCAGATTGCATTCTTTAACAGCCTGAGAATGAGTCCCGGGTTTCTGCTTTTCCTGGGTTTTCACTCTGTCTCTGCCCACAGATGTTAGATAGAGGGAGCTTGCCAGCCCTCTGCCACCTGTCTACAAACCCCCTGAGACTCATATACTGGCAGGATCTTGAGATGATAGACTAGCAATGGAGCATCTTCATTCTTGTTGTGCTCATAAGCAATGGGTCTTTTATTGCAGTCATGATAATTCTGGGAACAGCAGGGTATCAGCCAAGGCTGAAGAGTCATGGAAGCATCTGTGCGAGTACATGGATCAAAAGGGGGAACTGTAGGTCCTAACAATGGTATTCAGATAAAAAGAAAAAATACACTCAGAGTGTATTAGGTTGGAGTTGGTGCCATATCAGTGCTAAGATGGAGGGTAGATTGCGTTAGGTACCAGCAAGGTCAAAATATGGACTTCTCAAAACCAGATAAACAAGGATCCTGTGGGTCCTTGGAATCCATAAACCAATGAGCACAAAATCTCAAAGATGCAGACTCTACCCTCAACTCTCTGTCTGGAAAGTGGTGCTGGAGAGAGATCCAGCTCAGGGAATAATAAAACACACTTCACCGGTGAGTGAATTGACGCTTTAATAAAGAACAACAATGTAAGGCATCACAATGAAGAACTTGTGGCTCCCACTGACCAACCAATTGAAGTGGGGCTGAGGAGTGAAAACATAGATGGTACAGGCCGCTGGGGTAGAGATCCAAGGGCCTCAGAGTGTCAGTACTAGCAGAAGAAGACTGCCCAGGGTCAAGGGAATGAAAGACACTTTCGTGGCACTGCTGGGAGTTGTGGTCTTAGCGGTTGTGGTCTGGGTTGATGTGGGAACTGAAGTTGGGGTAGCCGCGTCTCTACAGTTAAATTGTTGAAAGGTAATTCCTCCAAAGGTAATTCTGCTTGAATTAGAGAGGAACTGACAGGTGGTGTCGCTGACATTTGCACAACCTTTCAGCACAAGCGTTTTTGAATCTGTGGATGCAAAGAAGATAATAAGAATTCCTTTCAGTCACCTTGCCTCTTTTCACTCTACTTGCTCCTTTTCCTCTTAATAGTAATTCTTTGCCTGTAGCCTGCTACTCAGAGACCTGAAAAAGGAGGTCAGTGCCTGAAATGAGGGAGACCAAGAAGAGCACCAAACTCTGACAACTGGAAGGATCTCAGATCACAGAAGCCAAACTGTCTCTCTAGTCCCAGTGACATTTGGAGATTGGTAAACAGCTCATTCATATCTGTATCTCCATCTGAACATAGTCATAGTTAGAGTGAGGCAAAGGGTACAGGAAGCTGTGGAAGACATGTCAGCAGAGTTTCCAAAAAGCAGAGAAAAATATGCTCATTCAGTGAAGAATGTAACTCACTGCACTTTTATTACAAATATCAGGGCAGAGTTAGAGTTAATCATGAAGGTGTGTTATATATCACACATCTCCACTGTTAAAAAATTATCTTGAGCAACATCAAACATTCAAGAAGTTACTTTCAAGAAATCTTTGATCTTTTCATCTTCAGTCAGACTCCCTAGCCTTGATGGGAGGAGGAGAGGAAGGATTTATCTATTAAAGCAGAGGATAGCTGAGAACAGTGTGAACAAGAGAACACATCTTTATGATGTCATTGTTGCGAGACAAACTTCCTACTTAAAAATCAGAACAATGCCAACATCTCAAAGATTTTATCATTTTTAAGAGTGGTTCAGAATCATCACGGTGCTTGGGCAATCGGAGGCTACAATTAAGCATTAATTTCCAGTGTCATGACTGATAATCATTGTTATAAAATTGAACTTGGGTATGGGTTTTGTTGATTTCAACTTAATGCCTTTTCCTTTCATCTTGGCCATGTTCCTCAGTCTCTCTTGCAATCTGAATGCCCATGCATTTGGCAATGGACAACAGAATGTGGGAGGAAGCAAGGCATTCACTTCTAGGCATGACTCATAAAATTGTTTCTTTCCTCCCTGTTCTTCTCTTCTCCACCTGCAGCTAAGATACAAGAGATAGAGCAGAATGCAGAATGTTGGACAAATGGGGCTGGGGTTGTGAGACAGAAGCAATCCTGACCCTGGGACCCTGCACTAAAATGTTACATAAGAAATCAGTAACTAATGTATGGCATCTTTAAGATTTAAAAGTTGCTCTTTAACTTTAATTAATTGGCAATCTTTCTAAAAAGTCAGCCACTAAAAATCCTATGGAAAAAATTAAAAAAGAAACTCTTTTTCTGGCACATGTGGAGTTGTCATGAATTGACATTAACTCCATGGCAATCAGGTTTTGTTTCCATTTTGTTCTGTTTTGATTAACAAATCTTTAACAACCAGGTAAATGCTAGACCTGGTATAACTTTTTTTTTACATTAGCATAAAAAATGTTATGATATTAGCATAAAATTGTATGCTAATATCAAATAACTTTTGTAAAAAGTTTTATTGATTTGGATATTAAAGTCCACTTTGATTCTTTCTGTTGGATGAACCAAGTTTCCATAAACTTGCTCCTTTCAGTGACAAGTTGTTGTGGTTGTTATTGTTAGGTGCCATCAAGTTGAGCATAACTCATAGCAATTATGAACAAAAGATCTGAACTCTGTTCTATCCTGTTCCATCTTCATACTTCCTAACACACAAGAACCCATTGCAATAGTCACTGTGTCAATCCACCCAGTTGAAGGTCTTCCTCTCCTTCACTGAGACTCCACCCTTCCCAGAATCATATCCTTCTCAAAAGGATAGCCCCTCTTAGCAACATGCCCAAAATATGTGAGGTGAATTCTCACCATTATTGTTTCCAAAGAGAACATAGAAGTAAAAAATGCAAAAATTAAAGCCCATTGACCTACATCTTCAGAATAGTAACACCCTAGTAAAGATGTAAGTCCCAGGAACACCATGATATGGAAAATAAAAACAACTATGAGATATCACCTCACCCCAGTAAGAGTAGCAAAATTTAACAGAAGAGCAAGCAACAAATGCTGGCGAGGTTGTGAAGAAACTATAACCCTTATTTCACTGTTGGTGGAAGTGTAAAATGGTGCAACCACTGTGGAAGGCAGTATGGCACTTTCTCAAAAAGTTACAAATAGAGATACCATTTGACTCAGCAAGTCTACTACTGGGAATATAGCCAGAAGAGACCATAACTGCCACCCAAACAGATATATGCACACCCATGTTTATCGCAGCTTTGTTCACAATAGCAAGGAGCTGGAAACAACCTAAGTGACCATCAACAAACGAATGGATAGAGAAGCTGTGGTATATTTACACAGTGGAATACTGCACTGCATTGAAAAACAAGGAACTCATGCAATATTATTCAAAATGGGTGACCCTAGAGGACATGATGCTGAGTGAAATATCTCAGTCACAAACCGACAAATACTGCATGGTGCCATTATTGTAAAACAGGACTGACCTTGGGGATGGGGGGGGAGAGACTGAGAAAGATGGGATAAATAATGTATACTGCATTGAAACAGGTGAGGGAGAAAACTATTTAAAAGGGATATGTGATTAGGTATTTTGGTCATGATGGGACTCTAGAACAAAGGCTGCATAGTGGAGTAGACCTGGGAGGAGGGTTTGTAAAACAATGAAAGAATTTTTTTTTTACTTTTACAAGAGGGTAGTGTACTTGGAGGGGGAAGGGGAGGCAGGAAGAAAAGTGCAACAATGAATGAATGGAAATCCAAATTCTCTGTAAATTTTCATTTAAATGAATCTTAAAAAGGGGGGGGAAATGAAGAATAGTTGTCTAGTTTGATTTCAGGGCACAAAAGGATGAGATCCAAGAGAAAGTACTGTTCTGAACCAAAAAGGAAAGAAAGTTTATTGCCACACTATCAGCTTCTCAATCTCAAAGGTGTTCATACTTTTATGTCTTTGTTCTATTACTCTTTCTGGCCCTTCCTTATTAACCCAGAATTTATGACTTAAAGGCTTGATGTTTCCAACTCAAGTCCCATGAAGTAATTGGATCTCTAAGACTTACCATTCTTAAAGAACGCCACTAACTCCACACATTTTTCTTCCTGGTTGCATGTCTGGCTTTTGTTTGTACAAGAAGTTTCATTAGATTCATGGCAAGCAGGGCAGATCGTGCTTCCGGGTTTACCTTCTGATGAAGGGGCTAGGTAAAGCAAGAACTATGACTTAGTACATGGCACTTCCCAGTGAGTGAGGAGAGGCAGCTAAATAGCTGTACGAAAGAAGCAAGCAGGTAAAGAAGCTGGCCAGAGGGATCCTGAGAAAGGAGCAATGGAATGGCTTCTATTCAGTCCTTGAAAACTCAGATCCTGCCTGAAGATACAAGTTATTTGATCACCTGAACATAAGAACTTATCTACCTCAAAAGACTGTCCAATCTTTAAGAATTGTGTTCAAATGGGTTAATAGTAAAGAATTGTACTTTTAAGGCAAAGATACCATTTAAATCCATCCGCTTCTCCATGTAAGAAAAATGGGTCATCTCCTCACGTGCAATTTACTACTTCTTAAAACTCACTGGAGGGTCAATTGTGGGCCAGCTACACCTTGATAGCACATAACAACAGCGGTATATAGGGCTACAAGCTATGAAGGTTTAAAAGGTAACATTTCTAGTTAAAGTAATCTATAGTCAATCTGACAATAACCAACAGGTAAATGACTATTATTAGATTTCACTTTGCATAGATGAATATGATGAATTATTGCTAATTTTGTGTACCACAGTGTCGGAACCAATCCATCACTGACCCTTTGTTGGGTTTTCAGAAGCAGTTAATCCCACAGGAGGAGATTGCCCATCCTTCTCCCACGGAGCTGCTGGTGGCCTCAAACTGTGTGCCTTTGGGATTGCAGCACAGGTTCTTACCATCAGGCCACCAGAGCTCCCAATATGGTGACTAGGAAGGGGAAAATCTTTGTATCCCAGCTCTGCTTTTTAATTAACTGTGATAAAAAAGAAAAACACAAAAACAGCTATAGTGACCTAGTAAGGAGTTGCTCTGTCAACCCGAAGGCAGGTGATTTGAATACACCATAAAATAAACAGTTTCATCTCTTGTGATTTACAGGCTCTGGAAATCCACTGGAGGGTCAGCTATGAGTTGGTTCCAACTAGACAGCAATGAGAGATATAACTATAACAAATTAACTCGTCCTTTGTGTGGTCTCTTTTTATCCTCTTCAAAAATATGGCTTAGGTCTAACGCAACAGTTCTAAAATTTTTATCTAAGAATCTCTAGTAATCCTCAAAACCCTTTTAATAAATCCAGAAAATAAAACTGCTTTTATAATGAAACAAATATTATTTGTGGAATCTATCCTCTCTCATTATCTTATTAATTTACAGTATAGTTTTCCAGAGGCTACACAACAGATTAAATATAGAAATAAATGACAATAATCGAATTGCCTTTTATTAATTTAGAAATTTAGTAGCTTTGAAAAGATAGCAATGCTAATAATTCTTCCTAATTTTTCTTTTGCTCTGGGAAATTTACCTTATTTAAAATCCTGTTAAAATTAACATGTACTTTCTCAGATTTAATTTTTAATACAATAATCATCAATAAATATAATCCATATAAACATAAATTCTTTGAAGTCTTCAATAATTTTAAGACGATAAAGAAGGCCTGAGACTTAAAAAGTATATGAACATCTAATGTATCTCCCAGAGGACACCTATAAAATTTAGAGTGCTTAAAAATTTAGTCTTTACTTAGAAATGGGGAGAGTGGTGTTTTTGGTTTCCTTCCATTTATTTCTAAAATAATTACTATAAGTCAAATGTCACTGTTTTCCAGATATGAACCCAAGTGTCTGGACATGTGACATCCACTCAAAGGTGAGGAATACAGAAAAGAAGAACAAGAGCCAGGAAGCCCCAGGGGGCACATGGGGGCACTAGAGACACTCACCAGAGACAGTTCTGTTGGCATTGCAGCCCTCTCCTTGGCAGCACTGGCTTGCAAAAGAAAAGTGCTCTTTATCAGACACACGGACTGTGAAAGCTGCAATCATCTTCTCCGTCTCTGTACACTCTTCCGAAAAGCAAGACTTTTCCAAGTATGAGTTGATACTTCCTACACAAAGTCAAGCATAGACTGGTAACTACTGGTGAGGAGAGACTGTAGAGAGAACTAGGGCTCTAAGTAGTACTTTTCAGACAATGATAAGAAAATAAACCACAGCTAATATATAGGGAGTACTGGTGGCCCAGTGGCAAGAAGCTGTGCTTCAACCCTGAATGTATGTGGTTCAAATCCACCAGTTGCTCTATAGGAGAAAGATGGGCAACCTCCTCCCATGTGATTTACTGCCTCTGAAAACTTGCTGAAGGGTCAGCTATGAGTCATTTCTGACCAGATAGCACACAGCTACATGAAATATGACTTTTTAGCGACATTGGGGAGAGTTTTCTTGCCACTGCAGGAACTGATCAAATATGATGTTAAAATCTAAGTTAAAGGTTAATAAGTAGACTGGTAATGAATGGATTAAGCTGACATCCATAAATTCACCAATCAGTTTTAGCATTACTAAAAACAATCAGACATGGTGGGCTTTATGCACAATGTAATGTAGACAGCACTATCGGTGGCATGCCCCTGCTTGTCAGAGTCAGTAATGTGCATCCAGACCAAGGCTCCAATCTGTAGCAGCAATTTCCAAGACGCAGAGGTCTTGTCTATTTGCTAAGTTCCCTATCTCTATGTTGACTATCTAACTCCTGTATGTCTTGCTAATATACTGCTTCTCCTCTAAGTTCACTCATGTGATTTTTCTCTGTGTGCAGAGCCTCGGTCCCATTATCCCTTCTTTCTTCATTAGTAATCCAATCCATCTTGATGCAATTTCCAAAGGCAAGAGTGATGAGCCGTCTGGACTAACCTAGAGTGGAGTCCACTGAGGAGCTAATACAGCTGGAGCTGACGTTTCCGAGACATGGAGAGACAGTAGTGATGTTGCAGGACTCAGACAATGAGTTGCACTGCGTACAATTCAGGGATTCTGAAGAAACAAAATAACTGACATCAGTCTACATTCAGTAAACATTTATAGAAAATTTTCTGGGAATTTATCCACCTCAGGGTTAGATGCTATCGTATCCCTGCGATCTAGGGAGCTCCTCAAACGTGATGGTTCCAATGGAGCCAGCCAATGTGGTAAGGAATTGTGCTACCAATCCAAAATCATGCAGTTTTAATCCACCAGCTGCTCCGAAAAATAAAAGATGGACAAACTCTTCCTGTACAATTTATTGTCTCTTAAAACTAGCTCTGCTTGACATCCAAGCAGATATATTCACACTCATGTTTATTGCGGCTTGGTTCACAAAAGCAAGGAGTTGGAAACAACCTAAGTGCCCATCAACAATCGAATGGATAAAAGCTATGGTATATTCACACAATGGAATACTACGCTGCCTTGAAAAACAAGGAACTCATGCAATATTATTCAAAATAGGTGACTCTGGAGGACATTATGCTGGGTAAAATATCTCAGTCACAAAAGGGCAAATACTGCACGGTGCCATTGTTGTAAAACAGGACTGACCTTGGGGTTGGGGAGAGACTGAGAAAGATGGGATAAATAATGTATACTGCAATGAAACAGAGGAGGGAGAAAACTGTTTAAAAGAAATATGTGATTAGGTATTTTTGTCATGACAGGAGTCCAGAGAGAAGGCTGCATAGTGGAGTGGACATGGGTTTGTAAAACAATGAAAAAATTTTTCTTTTACTTTTCTAAGAGGGGAGTGTACTAGGGGGGAGGGTTGAGAGGGGAGAAAAGTGCAACATTGAATGAATGGAAATCCAAAGTCTCTGTAAATTTTCATTGAAATTAATAATAAATTAAAAAAAAACACCTCTCTCTAATGGGTCAGCTAGGAGTCAGTTCTGACTTGAAGTATATAACACCACCACCACCAATGACCCTTTCTAGGAGTTCTGGTAGCCCAGAAGGTAAGAAGTTACGCTGCCCACCCAAAGGCAGGGGAGTCAAATCCTCCAGTCAGTCCAAGGGGAGAAGTGGGCAATCTTCTCTTGTGCTATTTGCAGCCTCTAAACGCCCACTGGAGGGTCAGCTATGAGTCAGTTACAACGGCACAGCAATGTCTTTGAAGACTTCAACCCTTTATCCTATTACTTCCTGTAACACCATTCTCCAGTGGAGAGTCAGCTGTGACCCTCAGAGAAGCCCCACGGAGCAATGAGGTCCCACAGAGTAGTCTACTGAAGAGAGGTCTCATGCTCTCCACTGACCATACTATAAGAGACAAGGTAACTTGAGAAAGGTGGGTAAGGGCCCCAAAATGTGATCATGTGGCTTTTCTCACCTACAGTCACAATGGCAAGTGCAGCAATAATGCCAGCGACAAGGATTTCCTTCATGGTGATGAATGAAGATGGCTTCTCTCTCAGATGACAGTCACAGAACCACAAACCTGAAGAGACACAAAGAAGTCATCCTCTGGGACACACCATCACTAAGGACCTTTCATTACACTAGGATGTCTGGTGCTAAATTAGCACTTTTGACAGAAGTTCAGGATCCTCTGCTATGGAGCAAGTGATTTGTCACGCATCACAGCACTCTGATCCATTGGCTAGTTTTCAGCCCAATCTTTATTCTTAGTCTATCTTCATCTGAAAGCGCTGATGGAACCTGATCAATATTATATATGTTCATAGCCATATGCATGTCTCCACTCTCTGACAGGAAGTGGCTGCTCAGTGAAGTACATTAATTTGGAATTGAACTTCGTCTTCCACATATTAAAGGAGCATTCTACCACTGGGCCCACAGTGCCCTAATCTGTCTTCCTGATATTAGCCTCTTATCTCAAATGCCTCCAGAAAGGACTACACACAGATATGAAACATGGCCCTTGGTTATTTCCTGCCAAGCCACTTCTGTACAAAAGTGGGAATTCTGATCCATCACCAGCCTCATTAGTGATGTCTTCAAGAGGAAAAAGTAGGGTTAAGTTCTGGTACCTTATCTCCTTCTATCTCCAACCTTCTATCTCCCTGTATTCATATTAGGCTCACAGGTGCTCTCACACCTACTGTCACCAGTAATAACAGACTATCACTGATAGACTGTGTACTTTGTCCTGAGCACTTTAAGTGGCTCAATTTATAGGATTAGTCAACCTTACAAAACATTAGTCTCATTTCCAAATGGAGAAAATTTAACTCAGGTTAAAGATCAAATCCAAAGTCAAAGAGACACTACAATAGGGTATTGGAGCAAGGATTTGAGGCCCTAACCACCACTTCCTTCTATCTTCCCACAGATGGTGATTCCCAGAGCCCAGAGCTTGTGACATATTTGGTGTCCAAGGTGAACTATGGCTAATGTCTCCTTTTTCTCTGTTCCTTAAAACTCCCACTTTAAAATCATCAGAGTTAGAACTTTTGATTTTTACAAAAGTTTGGTTGTGAATCTCTAGGTGGCAAAAATAGTTAAGTGCTAAAAATGTCTTAATTTGAACCCACTTAGGGATTGCGTGGAAGAGAGGTCTGGGGCTTGCTTCTACAAATATTTCAGACTTGAAAACCTTATAAAAGCAATTCTATTCTACATACAAAGGGATTGCTATGATGTGAACTGAACTCAACAGCAACTAAAAAAAATAACAAAGTTTATCATTACGAGGATCCTACATCAGAAGAATTTCAACTTGCCTGTGTATGATAGCAGGATATCTATCTAGTTCTACAGTAACTCCTTTCTAATCATTCTCAAGCATTATTTCCTTTAATCATCCAGCTTTGAGCCCTATGTAGCTATTTACATGTAAGTTAATTGATGTATTAAAAAAAATCTAATTCTGTCCCTCAGTTATGTCAACCACATTTTAAGTATTCACTAGCCATATGTAGCAAGTGGATACAGTATTTATTGATTGGTGCGGAAATGAAACATTTTCATAATGTGGAAAGTTCTTTTGGACAGTGGTCCTATGAATATGGAAAAATTACACTTTAGAGGGGTAATGAAAGCTGCCCAAGGTCACACCGCTTATAAGGCCAAAAACTAGAATGTGACCCAGGTCCTTTCAGCTCTGAAGAAGGGCAATGATAGTTGTATTTATAAAAGCAGAATTCATGTATCTACTGTAATTCCTCTTCCTATCTCATTTACCACATCACACATACACATACCACAATACCCACGTCATAATACAGAACAAACACATCCACACCATCACCACTGTACATCTCACCACAGCACACCTTACTGTTCTACACACACGACGCCATGCCACACACTTTATATCACCACAGCACACTTTACCACACAGCCCACATAAGACTCATATAAACATACCATCACCATCTTGCACGTACATATGCATTCTACACACAAACACCACTACAACATATCTCACCATACTGCAAGTCATACTACACCCTACTAAACCACACCACACACACCCACACACCCCACACCACACCCCACCACTGTAATACATTCAGAATACTTACAATGCAGTAAACATCATCACACCACATCTCACAACAGCACATACAATCAGCACTGTGACACAAAGTTGACTTACTATGGGTCATTGGAACAGAAGAGAAACAAGTTCAATTGGAAAGACAGGGATCAACTATTATCCAGATATTATTTACTGTCTAGAGCTAAGAACAAGAAAATACCTATTGATTAAGGAGCTGAACTGTCAACCGAAAGTTACACATTTCAAACCCACCAGCTGCTCTGCAGGAGAAAGATGGCCAATCTCTCCCTGCATAATTTACTGCCTCTGAAAACTCACTAAAGGGTCAGCTACGAGTCTGTTCGGACTTGGCCATATGTAACACACATATACCCTCTATACACAGAGAGAGCAGACACAATATGTGCTAGGTTTCTGCATCTCTCATATATCTAGTCACCCTTCCAGACCAGGTTTCAGGCCCAGGTTCTTCTTTACAGTAGATAAAAAGGTTCAGCAATAGCTCCTCTAGCTGACCCTCCAGCAGGTTTTCAGAGGCTGTTAATCACACAGGAGCCTCCCTATCCTTCTCCTGCAAAGCAGCTGGTGGATTTGAACCATGTGCCTTCAGGATTGCAGTGTGGGTTTTTTACCACTAGGCCACTAGAGGTCCCTGATGAAAAGTCTAGCAAGGTTTATTTAGAAGAAAAAAGGAGGGGAAAGGGGGAAAAAAGAAAAGAAAGCATACAACAGTCACCATTAGTCAATGTCTTATTTTTAGAGGAAAATAGCAAAAACTCAGATGGGTAAGGAATTTGCCCAAAGATGCAAAGAAACAGAGTCTGAAGGTGGCTCACCAATGGTATTCAAGGGATCTATTCACTGCTTTGTACCCTAGTGGCCCAGGGGTAAAGAGCTGGTTGGCAGCCAAAAGGCATACAGTTCAAGTCCACCTAGTTCCATGGGCAATCTTCTTCCACGCAAGTTACTGCCTCTGAAAACCTGCTGGAGGGTTAGCTATGAATCGGCTCCAGCCATGCAGTACATAATAACAACAACACTGATTTGTAGACATTCTTTTATGGAGAAAGAATGGCAAGACTGGGAGTCAGGATAAGAGGATCTTCTTGTGAATTTAATTATGTTCCCTAAACTTATGTATTATAAACCATAATTGCTTGTGAATATGATTGGTGTTGTTGTTGGTTGCCTTTGGATTTAGCACGACTCATAGTACCACTATGAACACTACCTCTACAACTATCAACATTTATCAAAGTTCATAGAGTTTCTGGAAGCATGTTAGTATGATACTATGATCTTATTTGGAAATGAGTTGGTTTAGTTATGTTAATAAAGTAGTGTATATCTAGGATGTGTCAGAGTGCATCTCTCCTGTGATGTAAAAGAGTTATATTGGCAAGCAGAGGAAGCTGAGATGGGAGAAGAGGGAGAAAATTGTGAGGGCAGAGAAGCTCAGAGGAGACAAGGACCTTTCTCTAGAGTTAACAGAAAGAGAAAGATTTTCCTGTAGCGGAAACCTTAAATTTGGACTTGTAAAATTCTAAATTATAAGCAAGCAAATGGCTGTTTGTTAAAACCATCCACTTGAGGTACTTCTGTCATAGCAGTACCAGATAATTAAGACAAGCCTCAGGTGGCGATTGAGGAAAAGGAGTATGTGTGTGTTACATTGCAAAGTGTCTCCAATCATTCTTTCAGTTCATCTTTTCAACAGTCCGGGGGATCCTACCACAATAATTTATGTCTTATAGGTGAATGGGAGTAGAAAGAGTCACTGAGGATATGGTGCCACAGAGAGCATAAAAGAAGTAAACCTCCCAGTAAACCAGGTCCCAAGCCCTTGCCTTCTGTCTCTTCAACCTTTCCTCTCCTGAACACACCATGCTGGAGAACAACAGCAAAGTGAAGAGAAGCCATACAAAGTCCTAGAACTCCCTCTGGGCTGGGACGTAACTGAGACTGAATGCTTTCCTCTATTTCTGCTTCTCCCAGTGCTCAGACTCAGCCTTGCAGCCCAGCACACTTGCTCTTACCTTCTGGGTCTGGTCCAGAGATTCCCTGCAGAGGTGGAGTCAGCAGAGAATAGGGACAGGTATGTGATGAGGGGCCTTATATAGCAGGCAGCTGTGCGATCATAAAACAGCCACCTGTGGGGAGAGGCTTCCGGGTCAGGCAGGCCTTTCTCCCAAGGTCCTGGGCTGTCAAAATGCCCTGCCCAACATTAGTGCCACAGACAACTTAACCCCTTTTTGGCTCTGCCTGTGTTCTCTAGGTAGTTGGCATCCTCTCTCTGAGGCCTCCCAAACAAAAGGAAGAAATGCTGAAGTAAGCAGGCTGAACAGAAGATTTCAAGTGGTAGCTTGAAAAGACAAAGCAAAGTACCATAACAAAATGTGCAAAAAACTAGAAATAGAAAACCAAAAAGAAAGAACGTGCTCGGCATCTCTTAAGCTGAAAGAAATGAGGAACAAACCCCAGCCTCATATTGTAATACTGAATACTATAGGCAAAATATTGAACGATACAAGATGCATCATACTGTTTCTTAGGCAAAGATAACTTTTTTATATAGTTGTAAAATTCCATTAAATTTCATTGCCAAAGAAACATTAAGAACTTTGCATGCTGTATAAAAAGCAACTAACTTCTTAAAGAATAAACATTTTAAAGTCAGCAAACATACTGTACCCTTGCAGAAGTTGATGAGCTGAAGATCAGAATTACGAGTGAGGGTTTTTGTTGGTTCATTCTCCCGACCCCCTCTCCCCCTTAGTTTTCCAGCTTAAGATTTTTTTAATTTGTCTTTCTTTTTTCCAATGTTTGATACATAAATAAAGACTTAATACATGTTTCCATTATCTTAAAAAAACCTGTTAATCAGTTGTTTCATAAGAACTGCATTTTGTTGCAAATGGA